GCTTTGCTAGCTTTCACAATGACTGATCAAATGGAAATGTAGCAAGAATGTTTCCCAATCTTTAGAAAGCTCTCAAAAATACAACCAGCAGTTGTGTCGTCTTCACAGTAACTGAGACTCAAGGATACTTCTCTTCTTTCCATTGTTCACCTCATTTCCTTCAGGCTCAGGGGTCAGATGTCTCTTCTCTTTAAGGCAAATTCCTCCTGTCTCCTCTGTTCTTAAGCTTTTTGCTGTTTCTCTGTCTACTAGAAACTTCTTCAGAGCCTATAAGCTGGAAAAAGTATTTTTAAAGTGTGTGTTTTTTTTAACGTATTAAAAAAGAAAAGCCTGTTTGTAAAATGGGAGTTCACAGAGATGCTCTGCCTCTCACTCTTTAGTGTCCTCCAATCAGGCTTTTACCGCCACCAAAGACCTCCTACTTGCCAAATCCAGTGGACCCTTTTCCATCTTCCCGCTTACTTGATTGCCCTATGGTTTGGGCACTGCCTGTCCTTCCTTTCCTTGGAACATTTTTCTCCTTTGTCTTCCATTCCATCACCTTCTTTGGATTGTCTTTTTGCCTTTGGGAGGCTGTGTAGAGCCCACAGTTAAGAGCCCACAGTCCCATGGCCTGTGTTCAAGTGCCGGCTCTGCTACTTGCTTGCTTGCTGGTCACCTGGGTGATTCGCCAAACCTTTCTAAGCCCGTGTGTTTCTTTATCTGGAAAATGGGGTTTCACTGAGATGGTCCATGTGAAGCTCTGAGCTCATTGCCACCCTTAGCTGATATTAGCTGCCATTCCGATTGTAGGTGACCTTCCCTCCTCCAGCTCTTCTTTCCATTCCATTAATATTGCCTTTCGTGAAGCCTCCTCCCACAGCTCTAGTTACCACTTATGTGCCCCAGTAACTGACAAGCCTGCTTCTCTTTCAGTATGTGGAGAAGTGCAAAACCAGCCACCCTGTTCCTTATCCAAAAGATGAATCATCCTCAGTGGTTTCCTTCTGCCTTGGCCCTGTTCCTGTCTGCCTTTTCCTTTCCATTTCCACTGCTCCTGACTTAGATCAGGTCCTTTTTATCCTTCTTATGTTTAGTAGTTTTTAAAACAGTCTTTCTGTCTCCACACATGCACAGTTCTGTCCTTTTGTCTCCACTGCTGCCCTAGTGATGTTACTGTGCAGAGTCGACCTTGTTCCTTGTCTGCTTGCTTAAACGCCCTCCAAGGGCTTCCTTTGCCAGCGGGGTGAAGGCTGCTCTTCTCAGCCTGGCTTCCAGCCGTCCTCGCTCCCCACTGTGACCTTTCCCTTGTTTTTCGATCCAATCTTACTGCTTGTTCCAGTCTGTTGAAATACTTAACCCTTTGTCCAAAGCACCACATTGTTTCCTTCTTCCATGCTTTTAATTATGTACTGAAATAGCTGCCTGCCCTTTTCTGCTTTGCTGAGCCAGCCTGGCAAAATTACAGGCAACTTTCAAGACGTTTTGGGGAAGTTTTTCTGATTTCTTTTCTTTCCACTCCTCCCGTCTCAGTCCCTCCTTTATGTGCTCATATTACCCTGAGGAAACCTCTGTGTGTATATACTCTGCTGCACTTGCTTACTTACATGCCTATCATTTTCTCTTGACTTAAGAGATCTTAACTTTCTCCTACTGATTAGTACAATACCTGGCAGTGGAAGGCATTCAGAAAATGGCTGTTGAGTGAATAGATAAGCAGACAGGTGAGCTAAGTCATTCAAGCTCTCACAGCGAGAGAACCCATGGTATTTGCTCATGTTTATGGTGATACTGATGGTGTCTTCCTCATCAATTTGAAGTGGTCTTACTAAACAGAGAGGAACTGCAGTTTGCCTTGAGAGAAATAACTTTCCTAACCCATACCAATTTTGAAGGGCCATCTCCTCAAATCTTACCAGTTTCTCTCCCAACCTATTGCTCCTTTTAATGATGTTGAACCATTTGAAGCTGCCGGTATTCAACCATTCACTTTCATATGGTCAAGCTATGGAACAAATGGCAGGGAGTTTATTGGCCCTTATTGCATCTGTGCTTTTTAGATAGGGTGGAAATGGAGAGTAGCCTGGCTTTGGGTGGATTTCTCAAAGGGTTCTGAACCCACTTCTAATGTGGGGTGTGGTTTCCACACACCAACAGGCAGTTCTCCTGTACCAGATGGGTGTCTTGCTATTCAACTCAGTTCTGCCATTGTCTGCTGGAGATAGCATCAGCTCCCACAGGTTGAGGGCTCAGTTCTGCAAGACCACCCCTCTTCATACTCCCACCCCCATTTCAGACGCCAGTTGCAAGGCCAGATTGCCACATCTGATTCTGACTGACTGGCTATAGATCGGAGTTTCCAATGACCCCATCATTGGCTCACAGATCTCAGAGAAACATTTTACTTACTAGATCACTGGTTTATTATAAAAGGACACAACTCAGGATTAGCCAGATGGAAGAGATGTGTAGGGCAAGGTGTGTGGGAAGGGGCAGGGAGCTTCAGGGCCTACTCCGAGTGAGCCACTGTCCCTACAACTCCATGTGTTCACCAGCCTGGAAGCTCTCCAAACTGTGTCCTTTTGGATTTTATGGAGGCTTCATTACTTAGGCATGATTGACTCAATCATTGGCCATTGGTGATAGAACTCGATCTCCAGCCCCTCTCTCTTCCCTGAGGTGGGGTTGTGGGTGTGGGACTGAAAGTTCCAACCCTCTAATCGCATGGTTGCTTCCCCGGGCAAGCAGCCCCGAAACCCCCATCCTTAGATGCTTCCCAAAAGTCACCTCATTAACAAAGTCAGGTGTGATTGAAGGGGGTTTGCTATGAATATCAAGCTCTTATCATTATGAAATTTATCACTCTTATCATCCGGGAATTCCAAGGGTTTTAGGAGGTCTGTGCAGGAATTGGGGACAAAGACCAAATATATATGTTTCTTATTATAAATCACAGTATCGCATTTTCCCACTTAGTAGAATGAAGAGCTCTGGCTTAGTTTCATGACCTCCCCATGAGATAAGTGAGGCTTCCCTGCCCCTCCTTTTCCTACTTGGCCACAATCTTTTGTTTGGCTGTGGGTGTGGGGGGGGGTGGCTTGGGGGGATGAAAGCTGCTACCAGTCAACACTCTGGGGCTGGGAGATGGAACTGGGAAAAAACACCTCTTCTCTTGGATTGTATGCTTTTGGCCACATAATTACAACACTAAGGTTTTCCTGTAGGTTCTCTCAAGGCTGACTCTGTTCAGAGGAAAGAAGAGTCTTTCTTCTTTCCTTGAACAAGAGGAGACTATTGTTAAAGAAAAAATTATTCTCGTACTTGTTAAATGGTAAAGAAGACTTTCAAAACTACTGCAGTAAAGGCCATGCCTATTGCAATGGAAGAGAAGAGATTGGGTTCAAGTCCAAGTATAGCAAAGGCAGCTGGGAACTTACAACCAGTGAGCAGGATGAAGGGGGTCAGTGGATGGAAAGTTACTTAGAGGAGACATTAAGGGTAGAGGGATTCTTGCTGAACTGGCCTAATAGGATTCTTGCTTAAGGCGGCCCATGGATTTATACGTCAAAGATGGAGGATGAGGAACTTGAACAGATATTAAGGTTTGCGGGATTCTCTGTAAACTGACTTCAGCAGGATTCGTGCTACAACTGGGCTTGGCAGGCTAGAGACCAGTCCTAGTCAAAAAGTGTGCTCTGAGGAGCCTGTCTGAAGTTTGGTCAAGGAGAGAGTCTGTCTTCTGGAGCCCTGAGTGCTACTTTTTCAGGAGGCAGAATGCAGTGCCACTGAAGAGAGGTCTCAGAGCTGACCTCTGGTGCATTGTCCCATGCAAGTTCTTCCCCATGGATATGTCTCTCTGTTGTCTTTTTTTTTTTTTTTTAATGTGATTGGTGTTAAGATACTGTAGGCAAATGCAGCAGTTGGATGTTAAGGTGGAAGAGAAATTTTTTTCCTTGTAGGTGATCGTGCTTCCATGCATTCATAGTAAAACAGAAGTGATCATAAACCAGACAAGTCTTCTCAGTCCCCAACCCTTATAGCTGTTTATTTCTCAGTTTTGGATGGAACCTTGACAGGAGTTGTGAGGTACTTCAGGAACATTTATTGGTAAAAATAAATCCTGGGAGCCTCCCTTTATCATAAGATAAAAATTTATGGCTCAGTATTAATAAAGCTTTCTGATTTTAAAGATCTATTGATATTACAAACAGTTTTTGGAGGTATTAAAATATTTGGATGATTAAAAGTACTATATATGATAACATAAAGTAGGAACTCTTACAAACAGTATCTTCTAATATATCTTTAAAAGTTCTAAATTCAGAAATTTGTATTCTTCTGGCACATGAACTACTGAAAATCTTTTCAGGTTTTGCCAGGTTATCTTAAAATCCCTAAATAAGTATAAGGAAACAGGACTAGATTTATTAAGAGCATTGCTTAGAGTTCAGTGCCTAGGGTAAGGCCTCAAGTTTGTTTTTATTTTTTTTTTAACATCTGTATTGGAGTATAATTGCTTTACAATGGTGTGTTAGTTTCTGTTTTATAACAAAGTGAGTCAGCTATACATATACATATATCCCCATATCTCCTCCCTCTTGCGTCTCCCTCCCTCCCACCCTCCCTATCCCACCCCTCTATGTGGTCACAAAGCACCGAGCTGATCTCCCTGTGCTATGCGGCTGCTTCCCACTAGATAGCTGTTTTACATTTGGTAGTGTATATATGTCCATGCCACTCTCTCACTTCGTCCCAGCTTACCCTTCCCCCTCTCTGTATCCTGAAGTCCATTCTCTAGTAGGTCTGTGTCTTTATTCCCGTTTTGCCCCTTGGTTCTTCATGACCACTTCTTTTTTTTTTTTTTAGATTCCATATATATGTGTTAGCATACAGTATTTGTTTTTCTCTTTCTGACTTACTTCACTCTGTATGACAGACTCTAGGTCCATCCACCTCACTACAAATAACTCAGTTTTGTTTCTTTTTATGGCTGAGTAATGTTCCATTGTATATATGTGCCACAGAAGGCCTCAAGTTTTAATGCAGGCTCAGCATGCTCCCAGATCAAAGTGGCGAGAGGCTTAACGGGAATGAAGCCTGCAAGGAAGTGCCCTCCTTGAACCAGGAGGTGCTGGTGGAGCTTGATCACTGGGGGGCGATGCCTGAAGGAAGAGGGCCTTGGAAGCCAGCCTTCCTGCTAATGGTATCGCAGGTAGGCCAGGAGAGCTCGTGCACTGAATTGGTGCGCTGCTAATCCACATTGTAATGGTCTGTTTCCCATTTCAAATGGGGTTATATTGATATATCTTATCAAATGATAAGTTTATGTAAAGTCTGAACATGAAGCAGAGCAAGCAGCTTACTGTTTATGTTTATTGTATTAGTCATGCTGTGAATAATATTGCTGTTTTTCCTGTGTCAGGCGCTCAGAGGCACTGTGACTGACTTCCCTGGATTTGATGAGCGGGCCGATGCAGAAACTCTTCGGAAGGCCATGAAAGGCCTGGGTAAATTCAGCCTTCTTTTTGTTCTAAAAAAAAAATGTGACATTTGTTTTTCTGAACAAAAAAGTCATTGTTTTACAGTAAGATTAACTTTAGAATATTTTGAGCTGAACATATATAGAGAGAAACATTAAAGGAACAAAAAAAATGACTGACCACCCGTAGTATTTAGTCTCTAGAACCAAACAGCAGTTAAATTCAGCCTCTTTGTTTTTTTAGCTTTTCAGCTTTACCCATATGGTAGCTGACTGAGTAGATAAACAGGCATTCCTGAGGGTGATCAGCTGTGCAGGCTTTTGCTCTCAGTGTCCAATCAGATATCCAGTTCTATAAGTTTCTTACATCCGACTGTCTTCACTTTCTCAGCTTTCCTTTTTTGCAATTTAAAAACCTCTCTTCTTGAGGACTTCCACATATAATTAATCCTCCTGTCCTCAGGCTCCTTCTGTACCAGTGTCCATGTGAAGGGATTCATCTTCCTCAAACTTGGCTCTGACCCCATCACTCTCCATTCTGAACATCTTGTGAGATTTCCTGTTGTAGCAGGATCAGGTGCAGGCTTTCTGGCCTTGTAAGGCCTTCCCTGGTATTCCAGCCCACCTTGTCGGTCTCAGCGCACATTACTGCCTGATGTGTCCTCTGATCCATCCATGCCAGGTGATCTGCTACTCAGGAAAGCTCTGTATTTTCCTACTGTTGAGCTTTTCCTGGATTCTAAAAGCCTGTCTTTCTTCCTTACATCACTGCCTGTCAAAATCTTTTCATCCTTCAAGACTGTTTTGGGTGGGTGTCACCTTCTCCATGAAGCTTTTCCCAAAACTGTCTTCCGCTGCCTTTCAGCTACGAGAACCTCCTCTGAACCCCATTTAACACCTGGACCTCTCCTGAGGCCCTTGTCACATTCTGCCTTACCTCACAAAAAAAAATTTGTATTTTTTACCCTAAATTGTTCATAACTTGAAACCAGGGTCTATATCTTTTCTCCTTTCTCAACCCCTTGGAACACCCAACACATCATGCCTTGTGAAGAGCTGTTATTTGAGTAATTACTTGTTGCAAGAAAAGCTAGGTGCACTCAGTTTTTAAAAAGTCAGGAGAATTTTTGTGTCTCCTTCACAATGTGTAGGGGTAGTACGTATTGTTGGAAGCAATAACATTTTGATATTGTAAATTTTATAGTTTAATAAATTACTTAATAAAATATATTTTATGAGGCAAGGAATTAAAGTGACTAGGGAGCTGGTTACAAAGGTTATTGAGAGAGTGGGCATGTGGGAGCCGGGATGTAATGGTTGGAACATAATTGCAGGCACCGATGAGGAGAGCATCCTGACTCTGCTGACATCCCGCAGTAATGCTCAGCGCCAGGAGATCGCTATGGCTTTTAAAACTCTATTTGGCAGGGTAAGACTGTACTTCATCCCAAGGTGGAATGTGAGAGTAGCTTTCTCTTTTAAGACTAGTTTGAAGTCTACTAATATTCTTTTGTAAATATCATGAATCTTACGATTCTGACTTTCCTATTCCTCTTTTTTTCTTTTCTAGTTTGTTTCTTAGTTATCAGCTGTTGGTTAAAATGCTCACTCAACTTATCCTCATATGATTGTTTTTCCTCACTTGACACTGTATAGGTGCTGAAAGATCCCAATGGGGATAACTGCCCTTCTTTCCTTCTGTATTTCCCACTCAAGATTGTTGTATTATTTTCCAGGTGTAAACCTGTATTGAAATATGTTTTGCTCTGACACAGTCACACTTGGTTCCTTTTGGAGTGATATTTTAATAAATGAGTTTTTAATTCATTGATTTAAATGTTCTTATTTGATTAACAATTCAAAGTAAAAATTAAATTTGTCACTAAATGAATTAGTACAGACATGAAAAACGTAGCTTTATTCTGAAAATTTTTGTTCATTATTTCGAGAAACAAATGCAAAGAAAAAAAAAAAGCATGTATTTTAAACACAAATTCTAGTTGCCTGTGTGCTGAAACTGAAATGGATGAGAAATACTGCTTTTATCGTTATAATTATGCAAGTTCCCCATAATAGCAGCTGTCCTGCAGTAGTCAGGGGCATAGTAATGAACATAATCTATTATGTATGTATTAGAATATCACTAGATATGGAGAGAAAAGAAAACATTGTTTTGTTTAGGTATGATAGGCCAAATTTTGTCCTTTGTAAAAATGCATTATGATATTTTGGGGAAATTATTTTTTTGAGATAGACATGTTTCTCAGAAGAGTATTTTTAAAATATTTTAGGCTTATTTTAAAATAAATATTTTTTATAAAAAGCATTCATTTTTTAAAATCTCTGAGATTAAGAAAAACATCTTAAAAACAAGTACCTTGACACATGAGTGGCTTTGCTTTAGGTTAAGGTCAGATGTCAAAAGTACATTATTAAAAGCCACAGGGTGTTGTTTAGCTCATGTGTCTTCTACTTGGAGATAGCAATGTAAAGAATTCATTAGAGCAAAGGGCTATTGTTCATATTTAAGAAGAACCTCCTTAAAATTTCTGCATGGTTAACCAATTTATATTTTCTGTGAGTTAGGACCTTCTGGATGACCTGAAATCAGAACTGACTGGAAAATTTGAAAAATTAATTGTGGCTCTGATGAAACCCTCTCGGCTTTACGATGCCTATGAACTGAAGCATGCTCTTAAGGTGAAAGGATGAGTGCGAGGAATATTCCTGTCATGTGTATAATATTATTTTGTGTTGGTAATTACTTTATGGCATTTTTATTTTTATTTATTTATTTTATTTATTTTATTTTTTATTTTTTTTGGAACATATAAATCATCACATCAGTCTATTACAGTCATTATACATGACAATTAGCTGTTCTAACAGCTATTTCTTTTTTTTAAATTTTATTTAATTTTTTTTTATACAGCAGGTTATGGTATTTTTATATTAAAACAAATTGAATTATTTCACTGAGGGTTTCTTGAAGGACAAAACTGCATAGGAGGCAATAAGAAAAGGAGAGAGAAAATGACAAGTGTGTCATTTAGTCTTTTTGTATAGTTAACTCAGTAGTAGTGGGTTTTTAAAATTTTAGTGTATTTTACAGCCTTTTGTACTTTATTTTCATGCTTGTTTTCTAATTTTGAGATATGTTTGTGTTTTTCTTTTTTGTTTTTTTTTTTTTTGCGGTACGCGGGCCTCTCACTGTTGTGGCCTCTCGTGTTGCGGAGCACAGGCTCCGGATGCACAGGCTCAGCGGCCATGGCTCACGGGCCCAGCCGCTCTGTGGCATGTGGGATCTTCCTGGACCGGGGCACGAACCCGTGTCCTCTGCATTGGCAGGCGGACTCTCAACCACTGCGCCACCAGGGAAGCCCTGAGATATGTTTTTAAAATGTTACAGATTAGGTATTTTATCTTTTAGTTTAGAAAGTTGCCTGATTAGGGAACAATAATATTGTTAATCGTTTTAGCATAGAAGATGAAGCTTTGGAGAGAATTTTGAGATAAGAAAGATTTTCTAATACCCTTTCTTTCTTTCCTGTACTTCTAAATACTAAAATGAAGCAGCTGGTAAACTTGATATAATTTCATTGTAGCAAGTAACTAAATGTATATTCCCTTGCCTGGTGTTTGCAATGTTGTATAAATGTGATTACATTGAATCATTTGTTTAGACTTATGGGACAGGGAATAACTCAGTCACTAGTAGTTAGGTTTTGGATGGACAAACTGAAATTAACAACAAGGAGATGATGTAGCTCAGGTGGAGGGAGGAGAGGGTTTATCAAGTTAGGAACCTTTCTGTGCTTCTTCATTTTCCTACAATGATTCTTTGGAATAAATAAAATCTTAGGTTATTGGAAATGGGCATTTTTGCAGCCTTCTGAAATATTAGCAGTAGCTAAAATTCTGCCCGAGCATAAACCTAGTTCTTTCAGTGTTTGATTTTTTGGTAAAGCGACAGAAATATAAGGAAATTAAGGCTTGAATATGCTATCTTTTAAAATTAAGTTCAGCTATGTCATTGCTTGTATCTTCTAATTTAGTAGTGTAGATATGACTTATAATCAGAAAAAGGAAAACCAACTACAATTATTCTTTAAAAATCCAGAAAGCAAGTCCCAATTCCTTTATGCTGATCCAATAACTGATTCCTAATAACCAAGCCATGCTATATTTATTTTTACCTGTGTTGCAGAATTTCCCTGTGATCCATAGACAACTTAATTTGAGGGCAGGGTTGTTTATGTTTTGAGGTACATATTGTTTAAGTATCAGTGTTCTTCCATGTAAATTTATGTGAAGTTTTCATTTTTACTATTTCAGCCTTTTTATTATTTCCTGTTTCATTAAAATGTTTCCCTTTAAAACTATTTAGAATTAAACTGATAAAATTACAAATTTATGTAATCTGTTATATGTCATATATGTAGACACATTCATACAATAAACATTTTTTTCATTAGGCAAAAAAGGATAAAATTGTCTTTGGAAAGAAAACTAATTTGAAATTTCGTATTTCTATAACTAATAGAACTCATATAGAAAGTGAACGTTATGTTGGATAATATATATATATTTATGCAGTTGGGGTAACATCTGTTCTGGGAAAATCACTTTCTTTTTAATCTTATTAACATGTTTTTTTCTATTAAAAATAAATCTCCAAACAGGGAGCTGGGACAAATGAAAAAGTCCTGACAGAAATTATTGCTTCAAGGACACCTGAAGAACTGAGAGCCATAAAGCAAGTTTATGAAGAAGGTAACTGTTTCGAATTACATCTCCCTTCACTTCCGCTGTCACTTTGTCATTTCTCTAAAGTGAATGGAGTTCTTTGGAGTTATAGGAGGGCAGGCCATACGTGATTTCTGGATGAGTGAAGGAATGAGTAAACAAATAAGCGACCATTCAAGCTAGTTTCTCTTTCAGTAGGGAAGAGACTGCCTTTTTCTATACCTATAACTACTTTAGTATTTGTAAGAAACTTCTGTTGAGGATAGGACTTATTTTCATATAGGATTTACAGTCAGTGTTGGGATATACAGGTTGTCTCTTTCACATTAAATTTAAGATGTAAGTGGTTTTTCTTCCTTAAAAATTTCAGTTTTATGTTGGTAGAAGTTAAGAATTACTAAAAAGGAAAAGAAACCTTGTCCAAATCAGAGTCGATAATGTTTGAGTAAATGTATGTCATTCTAGCTAAGGGGAGTGCTTGACTACTCTGCATTTTGACTTTCTTTTTGGTGTCTTTTCTTTTGGATTTTTAAAATTTTTTTGCGTGAAAAAAAACCTATATTTCAATCTGAAGCATATCCTGTTAATGGAACCAAGAAAATGTAATAAAAAGTAAAAGTAGGGAATTCTTTTCTCATCAGATTTTCTGTAAAAGACTCTGCTCTCTGCCTGACTTAGGAGGATCAGACTGTCCAGATTGTCAGCTCAGTCAACAGACCTCCAAGCCTAGTGCCTGCAGCTAGGAAAATGGGTCCCTATCTTGGCATTAGTTGGTTAATCTTAGAAATGACCGTGTAACCCAGCAAGTTAGAATGGTGTGAAATTTATGGCCACTAAACAATTACCTTTTTTTTTTTTTTTTTTTGCGGTACGCGGGCCTCTCACTGTTGTGGCCTCTCACGTTGCGGAGCACAGGCTCCGGACACGCAGGCCCAGCGGCCATGGCTCACAGGCCCAGCCGCTCCGTGGCATGTGGGATCTTTCTGGACCGGGGCACGAACCCGTGTCCCCTGCATCAGCAGGCGGACTCTCAACCACTGCGCCACCAGGGAAGCCCAACAATTACCTTTTGAAGCGCTGGAATATTTCTTTCCTGCTCCTCTTTTTGTAGTTGGATAGGACCCAACCACTAAGGCAGAGGTGATACATGTATCTCAGCTGCAGGTGATCACGCTTGAGTTTTTACCTGATATAACATTCACATATCTCCTTCTGGGGTTGTTGACATTGATGAATGAGCCTTTGTGCTGCCGGGTGACAGATGGGGTGCCACAAGAGGTATAGTAACTGTGTGTGGTCCATCCAGTCAGCCGTGCTATTGTGCACTTGCTATGTGTCCAGCAGCGTACTGGCTGTCATGAATGATGCAGAAGATGCACATAACAAAGCTCCTGTCCTCAAGGAGTTTGCAATCTATTTAGGGATGACATGACTTAGAAAAAGCTGCAAGAGTTACAGGATAGTAAAATTCAAACATCGAACATGTTTAATGAAAGAATTCATTCAGAGAAGAGAGGTCATTTTGGCTTTGGATGTAAGGAGAGGCTTCTTCACAGGGCAGTCAGACACTGAGCCAGGGTTTCAAGACTAGATAGGTTTCGAGTGGGTGAAGAAGGCATTTTTGGTCAAGGTCCACCCACTGTCTGCCACGGCATGGAGACCAGTTTGACAAAAGTACACTGAGGGAACAAAGAGAATGTGACTGTAGTGGAGGGAATGTGCATGTCCATTGTGGAGATAAACTGAATAAGTGCAGTTAGGCTCTGTTACAGATGGTTTTGTATGACTGGATTAGAAGTTTGGACTTGGTTCAAAAGCACTGTAAGCTCCTGAATGGATAGTAGAGTATTAAAGGGGCAGTTGAGGTCAGGAAGAAGGTTTGAATTAAGAGGCTGATTAGGTAGCTGTGTTGGGAGAGGTAAGCTGGGCAGTTATGGCTCAGCCTAGGCTGGTGGGAGGTATGAGGCGAATCAGAGGAGAAATATAAATGGATTTGGTGGTTGATTATATATAGGTGTTGGAGTAGAGGAAGGAATAAAAAATTCCTTCAAGGTTTTGTATTTGAGCAACTGATTGAATTAGATATGTATCTCTTTTGTATCTTTAGAAGTGTCAAACTTTTAAACTTTGTCTCCTTTCAAATAATGATGAAATGTTTAAATGCCTTAGAGTAATACCTCCTTTCCTTCAATGACAGCTGGTTGTGAGACGGTGAAAAGTGCCTGTAGACTCTTGTAGATCCTGGTTTTCCCCTTTGCTGTGGCTTTATGTCTGTCGAATAGCTGGAAATGGAGGGGAGAAGGGCGTATTTTAAAATATCACTGCTGTCTCTCAGAGTTAACTTTATTTGTTGCAGAGGAAAAATATCTTATTAGGAGAAGGAATGGCCATGCCCCAAAGGAAAAAAAAACTCAGAATATTTGAGAGTGGAAGACCTTTCGAGATGAATCATGTAAAACATTTGAAAGAAAGGGAAACAAAGTTTAAAATTAAGATTGATTGTATTTTAGAGACTTTCCAGTACCATCATGTATCTGATTAATAACAGATTAATAACTACGTTGGTTGAGAGCATTTCTAAATGGCCGAGTCATGATTTAGGTTTGAACTGTGTGCTTTTGGGAGACTTTAATTTCTTTTCTTCCAGCCACTCTCCACTTAAAACATTTGCCTTCAGTCTTCAGAGTGCTCAGAGAAGCATGAACTATTATGCTAATCAAATATTTCTTCCTTTATGTCTCTTCCATTTGATTAATGGGGCAAGATATCCTTTTCTAGTTGAAAGAAGCTGTAAATAAGTGTGAAATTATTCTGTTGCAGAATATGGCTCGAGCCTGGAAGATGATGTGGTGGGGGACACTTCAGGGTACTACCAGAGGATGTTGGTGGTCCTCCTTCAGGTATTGGGTGGAGGCTCTTTGTGGTTTAAAAAACCTGAAGCTGGACTGGTCTGAATCTAGTTAAGTCAAGTCACTTAAAATTCTTTTATTTATTTCTGGTACTTGCTTGATTCTGGCTGTGAGGTGCCAGTGTGTGTTTGTGTTTCAGAATATCTGACCTGAACTCGTAATAGCTAACTCATAGTTTTTTGGGGGTTTTTTTGTATATCACTGTCCTCTTTTATTCATAGATTTTAAAATCAAGAGGGTCAGGTTGGTTTTGGACAGTGTTTGTGTGATAATGTAAAGATATTGTAGGATTGATAAGATCTTAATTAATGCATATTATTCCTAAGAGAAAAAGCTTTATGTGCATAACCATTAGGTGGAACCGTTTTTTCTTTAGAACAAAAATACTCATGTAATGCAATAACATAACATATTATCTCTTCTAGGCTAATAGAGACCCTGATGCTGGAATTGATGAAGCACAGGTTGAACAAGATGCTCAGGTGAGTGAGACTTAATCTGTGATGACTTTATTATGACATAAATGAAAAAAGAATCCATGCTAATGGCAAATCATAATATGTGTAATAGCATCTAAAAATAGTCTAACGGGTCGTTTACAAATCATAAGACCCATGTAAGTAGATGGCCAACAAAATGTTTTATCCCAAGGCTGAAATGAAATAAAATAAATTACATGTAAATAATGAGTTCCACCTGGATATGTTATTTTCCTTTAGATTATGGGACATTCTCAAAATAGAGAATTTTACAAGAAAACCAGGTGTTATGGATTCTACTGCCAATGTGGCAGTCTCTTCGTAGAAAAGGATAAAGAAGAAAAAATACCTTAGTGGTAAATGGTGTTTTATTACATAATAGATGACACGTTATTGTAGAATTTGAAAATTCCTCCACCTTTCCTTTGATAGACTTCTAAACAGGATTGTTCTTTTGTCAGTTGCTCTTTAGTCACTCCCTAATGAAATTTTGTACTTAAGTGGCTTTTAAATTCCATTATCGTCTCAGTATGGTTTATAAAGTAGTTAAATGTAGGAAATAAGTGTTAGGAAATTTGAAACATGAGACCTGAAAACTGGAAAATGGTAATAAAGGAATTACTTGGGTTCCTAGAATCACATATCGTAGTCCTGTCTCTCATAGGCATACCTTGGAGATGTTGTGGGTTTGGTTCTAGACCACTACACTAAAGTGACTATCACAGTAAAGCAAGTTACATGAATTACTTTGGTTTCCCAGTGCATATAGAAGTTATGTTTACACTATACTTCAGTAACTGTGCAATAGCATTATATCTAAAACACAGTGTACGTCCCTTAAATAATTCCTCTTCAGGGGCCAGTCCTCAAATTAGCTGCTTTTCAGGTCTCCCGGCCTGACCCCCAGGTGTGTGTCAGGTGCTCCTTACAGGGGAGACTATAGCATCTCAAGCTTCCTGCCACAGTTCTTGCCACCTAATATGGAAGCTGCCTATTTACCTGACTGACCACCCAGGGCACTCTGAGCTGTCAGTTCAATCTGTATCCTTTGCCCCTAGCATATGGTTAGCACTTAGTAACTATGAGTTGCTGACGAGTGACCCAGTGCATAACTCTAACATAGAGGGGATCATTTCTGTTTTCTAGATAAGGAAACTGAAGCTCAGGGGTTCGAGAAACAAGCCCATGGCCCCCACTGAGTGGGAATGGAGCTGGAATTTCCACCTGGGCCCATCTGACCCCAAAGCCCTTCCTCTTTCACTAAACAACAGTCTTGGCGTTCTTACCCGTTAGCTCCTTTCTCTCCTTTCCGCTACCGTAAAACAGGCTTAGTAAGTATAGATTGGAAGGAAAGATCTCGCTTAACCCGGCCTACTTACAAACCCATCCTCCCAAGCTGTTAGGGGCTTTGCTCATTGCTGAGACGAGCTTGTTGCTTTCCAGGCTTGCACTGTCTGTGGGTCTGTAGGAGATGTGCTGGCTCTCACACTCCTGCTCTCAGGACTGGGACTTCTGCATGCTTTTCAGGGGTCGTGGTCACGGTGAAAGGAGCAGCTTAATAGTCTCAGACGACTGCAGTGAGGCCTGCATTAGCGGGCGGTGGGTGGGCAGGTTTCCCAGCACAGCTGGTGGTGTGACGAGAGCACTGCTGCAGCGTGAGGCTACTGAACGGGAACAGTACATTTGTACCTCGTTTTCATTGATTTCTCTGCTTGGAGCACTCACTGTAGAGCAGTGCTTCTCAGACTTTAATGTGCCTATAAATCCTTTGGGGATCTCCTTAAACTGCAGATTCTGACTCAGTAGGTCTGGGTGGGGCCTGGGATCTGCATTTCTAACAAGCCCTCAGGTGATGCCCGTGCTGGTCCTGGGGCCGCACTTTGAGTACTGAGGCTGTATAGGCATCACTTAACCTCTGCTGCAGGGGATATGACCATTCCGAACCCTGAAGGGGAAACTTTGTACATCTGAAAACTGACTTACGAAGTTACTTTAACATACCCCTGAAACAGTATCCAGGCTTTCTTTACCTTTTCAGTGACCAGGGACAACACAGAATACAGACTGGCTGTTGATCTTTGATTCATAAAAATCTTATTAATTAATTCAGCCTGTTGAAAACAATTACCCTTTCAGCATTATAAAAAAGGAACACACCCATTTATACCTTGTAGCAAGGGTACCTGGGCTGTTATCACTGATGGGAATTTCAGATTTCTTAATTGAGAGTCATCCAACTAAGGGGCCCTTTTATAAGCATTTGAATTTTTTTCCCTACTGATACCTGGCACTAAGAGGATTCCTGTTATTTCAGGGATTTGATAAGCCTCAATGAGTCATTCACCTGGGAATTGAACATTTTGTAGTTAATTCACTTAACTTTTTAACATTTTTAATGCATTGAACTGATTTTACTTCCTCCCCTACCAAATCCTTGTTTTATGCTTTCTCTGGAGAGAAAGTTGAACTCTTAAAGGAAGGAGGGAGAAGGGAATCAATGCTTATTGAGTACCTGCTATTGGTTGCCTGACACTGTTCAGTGCATTCATTATGTGAGTTATATAATCTCCATTAATAACTCTATAGAAATATTATTCCTACTGTGTAGGTGAAGACACTGAGGCTCAAGAAGAGATTAAGTAACTCATCTAAGACTCACAGATAGGACAGGACCAGTTCTGTTTTGATTCCAAAACCTCTGTACTTTGCACTGAACCAGAGGTTATCAAACTGCTTGGGCTAAACTGTAAAGCCCCCTCTGAGGGAAGGGGGAGGGTGAGGAGGTGTGAGGGTCCCTCATCCAGAAGAGCTCCGTGGATATTGGGCAGCCTCATTTAACCCTTACATTAAGACAAGGCAAAACAAAAGACTTTTAAATATTGCTGTATATGATGATACCGTCATTATTATTGCATATGATTCAGTTAGTAGTAGTTTTAGACTAGGTAATGATCCCAAACGTAATTCTTCCAAGAAAATTAAGAGATTATAGTTAAAAGTAGCCATCTCACCAGGTTTTTCCATACAACTGCTACAGCTACTAGAGAACATCCCTAGAGATATAGAACAATTGGTAAGAAAGGAGGCTTCAGCAGCGCTTGCAGTATTGTACAGGATGAGCCGTTCACCACTTTTAGGCATTAATGTATATGTATATCTCATCTGTGTGTGGAAAACATACTAGAGGTAGTAGCCAGTATCTTTGGGATGTTGATATTCTTGGTAATTTAAATTTCCTTATTTATGTTTTTTCTCTGTTTTATAAAATTTATCAATGAACATGTGTAATTTTTGTAATTAGATTAAAAAAGTTATCTTAAGAGAGGTGTACAGCACCCTGATATAGTTCTAAGGTTTAGATACTTGCATGACTTTCGTAGTAACACTCTTTTTAGTTTTGAAGAGCATGCTCACATGACCAGGATTGATGTTGTGTATTTTTATCATTAAAATAAATTAATTTCAATATTGAGCATAGAGATGATTCTCTGGAAGTGTAATACATAATAGACCTGTAGTAGCGTAGTCTATATTCTTAAACATACTGTGATCAAAATTCCTACATCCAAACACGTGCTTTGATCACCTCGTATCATTTGTTTTGCCGCTTGTGGCCGTAAAGGCAGCTCGGCGTAGTAGTCTCAGCAAATTGCATTTGGCTTGCTTTAATAGGTATACTTACCTTGAAATGATTAGAAGGGTAGTATAGACATTTTAAAGATTGATGCTTTGGGTTTTAATAAATAATCTACAACCCAATAAGTGGACTCAGATTTAATGATGATGTTTGTATATAATTTTTTCAGCAATGATATGGACATTGGAAAGCATATATTCTTTTCCATGTAAAAAGGTAAATGTAGACACTCAAACTATTCAACAAGTATATGTTAAGTGCCTGCTGTATGTCAGGCACTGTGCTGTATTAACAATGTTTTAAAAATTCGTTGTGATCTTTTACAAATGGGAAAACTTTTTGTAGCTAGCATTGGTTAAATTTCAGTTGTAAAGAGAGAATATGGAGTTTTATCATGTATTACTGAACAGCTACAAGAGCAAGCAAAACAGAAAACGCAGACCCCTTAGCTCCTAGTTAAACTTTCCCAGTCTGTAAATGGATGTATCAGCAGTGAGGTAATCAGAACTTTCCACCAACCACATCATTGCTCCTGAATGATTGGAAGTCATGGTAGACACTTTGGGGACATTTAACCTGGCACTATTGCTCTGCTTTATTGCTTTGCCACAGTTTAGTGGCAAGCTCCCAAGTAGCCCCAGACTTAGTGAGCTGAGTTTCAGAGTGGGAAACATCAGAACGGAAAAACATAAGATGATGAATCAGGCAAATTCATATTCAGGGAGTAAAACCCAAGTGTGATTAAGAACCTGGACATGAGATGGGAGAACAATTTATTAATTGAGGTTGAAATTTTCACAGGCTTTGTTTCAGGCTGGAGAACTTAAATGGGGAACAGATGAAGAAAAGTTTATTACTATCTTTGGAACACGAAGTGTGTCTCATTTGAGAAGGGGTGAGTGATAAAAATGTGTATGATACGTATGGTACTTTGATTAATTTTGAAAGTACAAGTCAGTATGCCAAAATACCTGCTGCATAACAGGCTCTTGCGGAATGGATCAGTTTTTAAATTTCTTCCTTTTGGTGACCTTGAGAAATCTCATAGTTCTCTGCTTCTCTTGTAGCTTTTACAAAACTTAGAGATCCTTAGTCCACTCTTTGCTATCAGGGTGATGAGGGAGATAGGCCTCTAGATTGTTGCTCATAGTGACAAATCACTGAGCTGTAGCTCACTACAAGTATTTCCTCTTAGATAGTGTTACCTAAGAGCTCACTTCTGGGTATTCATCAGTACTTGTGGTATCAAGTGGGAATAAGTTCACGGGCAAGTGACAGAAAACCCTACTAATAGTGGCTTTAATATTGGGCTTTCTGTAGGTAAGATTCCTTGGCTGATTTGGCAGGACATAGGCCCTTTCTGTTTTCCTTCTCCGCTGTCCTTAGTGCTTTGGTTCTCTTTCTCATCTTCGGTACTTCGTTGTCACACGATGACTACTGTTGCTCCAAACATACCAACCATTTTCACAGCAAGAAGAAAAGAAAGGGGTAAACTCACCATATCTGTCTGTTACTTTTAATTGGGAAAGAGAAAGATTTTTCAGAATCCTCTCCCACAGATTTCCCTTTAGCTCTCATTGGTTATAACCAGTAAGGAGGGGCTGGGAAATGAGTGAACAAAGAACACTTAGAATCCATTGTTTCGGGCTTGGCACGTTGAGGCTCTGAACAAAATCAAGGTCTGTCAGCAAGGAGAAAGGGGAGATTTGTGTTTGGTAGGACAGTGCCTGGTGAGAGGAAGTATCTTTCTGGAAAGAGTGATTCATAAATTGTTTTCCTGTTTTCTAGTGTTTGACAAATACATGACTATATCAGGATTTCAAATTGAAGAAACCATTGACCGAGAGACTTCTGGTAATTTGGAACAACTGCTCCTTGCTGTTGGTAGGTAATTTTATAATGTATATAATATTCATGGTGTTAAGAGTTAAAGTATTTTATTCAGTTGAAGCTATATCTGAAAATAACCATCTATTTCTTTATTAAAAAAGAGCTTATCATGATATTTGGGTGAAGCAAACTCCTAAATTTCCAATTCAAAATCTGTCTTGATGTTGGAAATACGTGAAATATCTGGTTATTTCATTTAATCTTATGGAAACATTAAGAGAATTGTTTAAAAATCATTTTGAAGCTGCATTAAAAGTATTACTGTTTCATTGTGAATCTGAAATGTGGGCATTGTAATCTCAGAGGCTTGTAAATGTTACTTCTGATATCTGTGAAATTTTATTTTCTTTAGAATACCATCCTCACAGTTTTGAAGCAGACTGAGAAATTGGAATCTGATTTAGAATAAGTATCTTTGATATAATGGAAGATGTGTGATAGTGGTTATTTTTCTGAGTAAATAGTTTAGAATTTTATTTTAGCTAAATATTCAGAATAACCTGGAAAAATTGGAGAAACGAGTTTGTGCAGTTTATTGTCGTATTACGTACTCACCAAATTCCAGGGAGAATGTAGTTTGTGAGTTCCCTGTGGTCCCAGCTTTCATATGGGTTTGGAGTTAACCTCTGTCTGCTATTTGTTCTGAGTATTTGGTGTTGAGCTGAAGCTTCTGTGCTCTCTGTCTTCTGGAGAATAAGCTAAATGTGTGTATATACCAGCACTAACAGTAACCTTTCATTTGAGTCCACAGTTAATGAATTTTAACAGAAATCTTTTAGATGACCCCTTCATAATAGAATACACATAAAAGTTATGACAGATTTAGTTACTGGTGGCTGTTTTCTTAAGCATTGGAGAAGAACACACCACCCCCAATCAAGGATTTGTTATTTTTATATATTAGGGAATTTTTATGATAGTTTCTGAAGCTAAGCAGACTGAGTTCTGAGGAGCCCTAACATACAATAGATATGTATGTGTTCGGGGAAGATACTCTTTTCTGTTACCAGTTTATCTGGATGTTTCTACCAAAATGGGTGAGTCTTGTGCTGCTCTGTGTGAATCATGGACGTTATATCAATAGAATACGGAGGGAATACCTATATTAAGATTTCAGACAGATAGTCTAAGGTTTGTCAGATTAGATGGGGTAGTAATCTTACATTATTTGCTTGAATATATTGGAATGAAAACTCCCAGGAGGTTTGTATAATTTACTGGGGATGAAGAAGGTTGTGGCGTAACAGCCCAGGCTGCCAAAACTGTTACAGCGAAAAGGTGCTCATAGAAGAAAGGGGCACTGAAAAACTTGCAGCCCCCATCCTACGTGCCTTTCTGTGTAGAACTCAGAACTCTACGGAAAACTCAAGCCAGTATCTATGGAGATTCTCTGTAGTCAGGAGATCAGAGCAGCTTGCAAATGAGCAGCTCTTGAGCCTGTGTTACTTTCATACTGTATTTAAGTAGAGCTATAAGCGTCAGGCAGCTTTGATTTTAATTACTTTATCCTTTTCACATCAGAATAGCATGTGACCATTATATTACTTATTTTTGTAGTGAAATCCATTCGCAGTATACCTGCCTACCTTGCAGAAACCCTCTACTATGCTATGAAGGTAAGTGCATGCCTTGAATCTTCTATCTAATTAATTTATCTCTCGTATGTTTTAGATGATAGACTTTGAGGCTTTTTTCCTCCTTAAAACAGGTAGTTCAATTCTACTAAATTGTTTTACTTTATTGACTCACCCCAACTCAGGGGAGTTTGATGCTATAATTGACATTTTTAAACACGTGCCTCTCTTTTGTTCTTTTTTAAAGGGAGCTGGGACAGATGATCATACCCTCATCAGAGTTGTGGTTTCCAGAAGTGAGATCGATCTGTTTAACATTAGGAAGGAGTTTAGGAAGAATTTTGCCACCTCTCTTTATTCCATGATTAAGGTAGTAGAACCTTTCTTTAAATGTTTAGAAACCCACAGCAGACCAGTGCATAGCTTGCAAGACATGGGTGGGAGAACCTAATTCCTGTGTTAAGTTTAGAGTTTTAGAGATGTGATTAGAGCTGTGAGTTACAAAGTTTGGCGTAATGTCCCCTGAAGTACGGGTGATGGCTCCTGAGTGAAAGACTGGCTCTTGGTGAAGGCCGAGGCTCCTGGTGAGCTTAGAAGCATTATTTAGTAGTGGTGACAGATGACTCACTAAACCCAGTCTTGTCCACGGTAATAATATGTTGGTTCTTTCTGCCTTTTATCAGTTCCAGCTGTCTTTATTAGTTTCTCCTTTCTTTCATATCAGTGTTTTCTTTCTTTATTGTCTGTTATCATCTTATCTCTGGTATTGGTTCAGAGTTCAGGAAAGAACCAACCAGGTCATATCAGGAGTAAGTAAAGAGCTTAAGTATTACTGTCATTTTCATCCTTTTAAAAGCAAGGGACACTGTGGCCTATAATTAAATTTGGCTTAAGGCCTTTTGACTTCCTCATTCTTTCTTTTCCTCTCTCCCTCCCTCCCTCCCTCCCTCTGTCTGCCTTTCTGTCCTTTTTTGTCTCTCTGTCTTGGTCTTTCTCTTTGCTAAAGGGGAATGTGGGCTGTGTGCAAAGCAGCATCTCAGTTGAGAAAGCGTTGAACTTTGTGTGTGCGTCGTGTGCTGGGCTGAAGGGTACTAGAGAGTTCTCCCAGTGACTCATAGCTTGAAACGTTAACTTATCCCACACATCTGTGCATGACACGAGCAGAGGCAAAATGTACCTTACCCTTCTGTCTTTGAGGTAAAGCCATAACAGCCAGGCGGTCCCAGCATTGCCCCCCATAGCCAGCCATATGCTATGTGATAAGACAGGGGTCCCCAACTCCCGGGATGTAATGCCTGATGATCTGAGTTGGAGCTGCTGTAATAATAATAGAAATAAAGTGCACAGTAAATGTAATGCCCTCGAATCATCCCGAAACCATCCCCTGCCCCCTGGTCCTTGGAAAAATTGTCTTCCATGAAAACAGTGCCTGGTGCCCAAAAAGTTAGGGACTGCTGTGATGAGAGACTCAGAGTTCGTTTAGAAACCTTGACTTGAACATGGTTGTAAAAGCTTCCCTGTTCTCTGTGTTACTAGAGGGAAGAACATACTTCACTGTCTTAGGTAGAACTGTGCTTTTAAGGGGTAAAATTAGAAAGTTAAACATCAGTTGCATCAGTAGGAAATTCTCTGTAAAGCATTCCTGTTGTGAAAGGCACTCACAGAGAGATTACCCACATGGGGGAAACGTCATGTGAATAAAACCTGTTGCCAGATATGTCTTAGTTTTTTATTTTCTGTGAGTCATGGGGGTTAACGGAGTACATTTGGGTTTCAGGGGGACACATCTGGGGACTATAAGAAAGCCCTCCTGCTGCTCTGTGGAGAAGATGACTGATGTGCGCCTGGGGAGAGACCCTGCACCGTGCCTGCCACCGTCACCACTGCCTTCCTGCAGTGCATCTCACTGCACTTCCTGCACGCCAGTGCGTGGCACGTTGCCTTATTCATGCCAGCATGCTATGACCAAAACATATATGTTGTAGAAGAAAATAGTAGTGCTCCTTTCTGATCTTCACTTAAAATCCTTCTCTTTGACTGTCATAGTCCTGAAGTGTACTTATGTTACTAAGACTAAAGTCTGGATCATTTATATTTTCCTTTAAGAGGTCAGACTGCTTTCAGCCTTTTTAAAAAACTTCATTTATATTAAATTGATAACCGCATTACCTTAACCAGAACCTTAGCCTTGAAATTGTGAACTCCTGGAAATGTTATTAATCAAGTTTGCTACTAAATTAAACCTGAAACATTATGGAGGTTGCATTCAAAGGGTTAATGAATAATAAACGTTTCCTTCCTCCTGAGTTACGTGTGGGTGTATGTCTAAAGAAAACTTATTTAATTTACCTACTTAACAATGATATGTTTTTTCAAGCTAGTCGGTTGACAGTGTTGTCAGTTGACAACTGAATTTATAGTTGGCTTTTGGGTGAAAAGCTTGAAATACAACATGCAAAATGAATTGTCTGTGCAGTGTGGAATGAGGGAAGAGTTGAAGGGGGTCTCTGATTTATTGGTGGCGTGTTTAATGTGGGCATCAATTAAAGCAATGCTTATGTTAGTTGCTTAGTAGAAAAGCTGATTTTAAAACTTAACCTAAAATTTCAGAGTGTTACTTTTCACTTTCCTGTTACAACTTGTTTTTCCTGTTTTTATCTACTACCTTCTTTGAGATAAAAAAGCAGGCAATATAGAGGCAAAAAGAGAGAAGCGGCTTCTTTCTTCTAATATTTACCTTTCAGTTTTCTGCTTTCAAACTGCTTCTTGAATTGGTGTCAATTTCCTTTTTTCATTTACTCCCTTATAAATGTATATTTTTAAAAGCAAGTGATTGCTATTAATAAGACATTTTAATAAATGGACTACTCTCCTACTGAAAACTCTTAATTAGTGATATTGTTCTTTTCACAAGCTTGGCTGGTCATCAGAATAACCGTGAGAGCTTTGAAAATTATGTGTGTGTATATATGACATGCTATTTTTTTTTCAAAAGCTCTCCGTAGGCAATTCTAATGCAGAGCCAAGTTGAGAATCAACTGCCTCTACTGCCCCCAGCCCCGCGTACTGAGATATAATTGACATACAGCACTGACAGGTTTAAGGCATACAGCATAATGGCGTGACTTAGGTATGTTGAAAAATGATTGTCACAGTAAGTTTAGCTAATATCTATCATCTCATGTAGATTAAAAAAAAGAAAGAAGAAAACGTTTCTCCTGGTGATGAGAGCTCTTAGGGTTCTCTCCTAACAAGTTCCAAAAGGCCAGACAGCAGTGTTAAGTATAGTTACGTTGAACGTTACATCCCCAGGACTTACTTATCTCATAACTGGAAGTTTGTACATTTTGTCCACTTTCTTCCAATTCCCCACTCCCCACCCCTGCTTCTGAGAGCCACAAATCTGACCTCTTTTTCTGTTAGTGTTTGTTTGCTTTTTAGATTGTACATATAAATGAGATCGTGCAGTATTTGTCTCTCTCTGACTTATTTCACTGAGCATAATTCCCTCAAGATCCATCCACGTCGTCCCAAATGGCAAGAGGTTCATTTTTACGGATGAATAATATTCTGCTCTGTGTGCGTGCGTGTGTGTGTGTGTGTGTGTGTGAGTGTGTGTGTGTAGCTATCACTTTTTCTTTGTCCATTCATTGATGGATACTTAGGTTGCCTCTATGTCTTGACTACTGTAAATAATGAACATGGGGGTGCATATATCTTTCTGAGTTAGTGTTCTCATTTTCTTTGGATAAGTACCTAGAAGTGGAACTGCTGGATCATATGGTAGTTTAATTTTTTGAGGACCCTCCATGCTCTTTTCCATGGGGGCTGTATAAATTTACATTCCCACCAACAGTACACAAGGGTTCCCTTTTCTCCACATTCTCGTCAATGTTTGTTATTTCTTGTCTTTTTCATAATAGCCGTTCTAACGGGCAATATGATATCTCATTGTGGTTTTGATTTATGTTTTCCTGATTAGTGACGTTGAGCACCTTATCATGTACCTGTTTTGGCCATCCGTATGTCTTTTATAGAGAAAAGTCTATTCAGATCCTCTGCCCATTTTTTCATTGGATTATTTTTTGTTGTTATTCTTATTTGAATTCTTTATATATTTCGGATATTAACCCTTTATCAGACATATGATTTGCAAATATTTTCTCCCATTCTGTAAGTTGCCTTTTAATTTGTTGATGGTTTCCTTTGCTTTGCAGAAGCTTTTAGATTGATGTAATCCCACATGTTTATATTTGCTATTGTTGCTTTTGCTTTTGGTGTCCAAAAAATCATCACCAAGACTGATGTCAAGGAGCTGACCACCTATGTTTTCTTCTAGGAGTTTTTGTGGTTTCAGGTCTTACATTCAAATCTTTAATCCATTCTGCGTTAATTTTTGTGTATGGTGTAGTTTAGTGGTCCAGTTTGATTTTTTTACATGTGGCTGTAAATTTCCCAGCACTATTTATTGGAGAGACTGTTCTTTTCCCATTGTATATTCTTGGCTCCTTTGTCAAACATTAATTGACCATATATCCCTAGGTTTATTTCTGGTCTCGATTCTGTTGTGTTGATCTGTGTGTCTGTTTTTATGCCAATACCAGACTGTTTGGTTACTGTAACTGTGTAATATAGTTTGAAATCAGAAAGCATGTTGCCTCCAACTTTGTTTTTCTTTCTCCAGATTGCTTGGGCCATTCGGCGTCTTTTGTGGTTACATACAAATTTTAGGATTGTTTGTTGTATTTCTGTGAAAAATACCATTGAAATTTTGATAGGGATTGCATTGAATCTGTGGATTGCTTTGGGTAATATGGACATTTTAACAATATTAATTATTCTAATCTATGAACATGGAATATCTTTCCATTTATTGTGTCCTGAATTTCTTTCATCAATGTCTTGTAGCTCTCAGTGTTTTTCACCTCCTTGGTTAAATTTATTCCTAAGTATTTTATTCTTCTTGATGCAATAGTAAATTGAATTGTTTTCTTAATTTCTGTCCCTGATAGTTTGTTATAGGTGTATAGAAATGTAACAAGTTTATGTATATTTTTTTTATCCTGTAACTTTACTGAATTCATTTATTCTAGCAGTTTTTTAGTGGAGTCTTTAGGGTTTTCTCTTTATTATCATGTCATCTGCAAAAAATGACAGTTTTACTTCTTCCTTTCAGTCTGCTGTCTGTGTGCTGTGCCCTGAGTAGGGGTAACCAGTCAAGGATTATTTGTTTGTAAGAGTCCTGTGGGACATATGAGTGCAAGCCCCGCTGGCCACCAGAGCCAGGTAACCACGAGGTGTCTCCTGATCAGTAGCTGCAAAAATTGTTGCATCAATACAAGTGCACAAGCTCCTTCCTGGGAGAGACTGGCAGTCTGGAGTGAGGCAGAGTGAGTGTGCAAAGATGTCACCCACGGGCATCCTTCCCCAGAGAACACCTCTACAGGTCTCTATAATTGTGCCAAACCAGAAGCCTGCCCTCTTATCAAAGCTCCAAGATAAGCAAATAGGCCTCTTACACAGAAAGACTGGGGGTGTGTTTTTGTCTGCTCTCTGTGAAGTGCCCTGAGAGTGGCAGTCTGCCAAGAACTATCCCCACATTTGTTACAGCCTCAAGAAGGCAAGCAGCGCTGACCACCAGAGCCAAGGGATCAAGGGGTGTCCCCTGGGCGGCATCCACAAAAACCAGGGCACCAGACTAAAAACTGGGGCACCAGATATGTGCCCAAGCTCCCCTATGGGAGATACCGGTAACCTGGACCGTTGCAGAGGGAGAGCACGAAGATAGTGCCTGCCCTCCAGGGTCTCTGGAGAGAATTACAGTTAGCCCTAAGCTGTTGTGTTCAGTTAGAAACCTGCCCCTCAGGATGCAGCCAGGAAGATAAAACAGGCCTCTTTCACAGACAGACTGGGTGCCTCAGTCTTTTGCATCTCTGCTGTGCGCTGGGGGTAGCCAGTTAGGAGCTCTTTCACCATTTGTTACAGTTCCACGGGACCTGTGCATGTGAGCTGCGCTGGCCGCCAGAGCAGGCGATTTAGATTTGGACATCTGGGCAGCAGCCGCAACACCTGGAGCACCAGATGAGCGTGTAAGCTCTTTTCTGGAGATACCAGTGGCCTGGAGCGAGGCACAGGGAGAGTGAGATACGGTGCCTGCTGGCCTCTATCTTTGGAGAATATTTCAGGAGGCCTTTAGAGGTGTGTTCAGTTAGATGCCTGCCCCTCAGGCTGACACCTTAAGATATTCACACAAGTCTCTTTCACAGAAAGTGTGGGCACTTTTCAGTTAGCTGCCTCTGTGCTGGGCCCTGGGTGGGTGATGTGTGCCAGCCTTTGAAGAACTGTTTCTCACTTTGCTGTAGTCTTGTAGGTCTCATGGGTATGAGCCCTATTGGTTTTCAAAAGCCAGATATTTTGAGGGTTTGTCAGGGGTAGGTGTTAAAAATCGGGGTGCCTGGTGTATGGTTCAAACCCTTAGCTCCTCAGGGAGAAGCTTGGGGTTTTGAGTTCTGTCCCCATTGTGGGGTGTCGCTCTGGGGTGGGGTTTATGGTGAGACTGTGTCTCAGCCTCTCCCACCTGTTTCACTGTGGGGTTTTTTCCTCATTTGTTTGATGTGTAGGAGTCACTCAGCTAGGTGTTTGTTTTTTTTTTTTAACCCTACAGAGGAAATTGTTCCCTATGTAGCTGTAGATTTGGTGTGTCTGTTAGGGTGAATTCAAGATCCTCCTATGTTGCCATCTTGAACCAGACTCTTGGTTTTTCTTCTTTTTCTATTGATAAGGTGAATTACATCAACTGATTTTCAAATCTTGAACAGTCTTGCATTCCCAGGATGAATTGCACTTTGTCATAATGCTTTATCACTTTTCTATGTTGCTGGATTTGTTTTGCTAGTATATTTTTGAGAATTTTTGTTTCTATGTTCATGAGAGATACTGGTCTGCAGTTTTCTTTTATTGAAATATTTTTTTGTCTAGTTTTGGTATCAGAGTAACGCTACTGTCATAAAATGAGTTGGGAAGTATTTCTATTCTATCTTGTGCAAGTTTGTGTAGAACTGGTATGAAAAATTTCCTTTTATGTTTGGTACCTGTCATGAGCTTTTTTTTGGAAACTTTTAAACTACAAATTCAAATATCTATCTATCTGATTTTTATTTTTTAGCCATGCCGTGTGGCATGCGGGATCTTAGTTCCCCAACCAGGGAGATTGAACCTGTGTCCCCTGCATTGGAATCGTGGAGTCTTAACCACTGGACCGCCAGGGAAGTGCCACTATCTGATTTTTAATATATAGACATCACAT